CAATAAAATATATTTTTTTAAAAAAAGAGTTAGGCCCTGGCTGCATATCCCACTTGGTTAGAGCACTGGGTCAGGGCACATACAAGAATCAACCACTGTACTTACCTGGCAGGGGAGATACCATGACCACGAAGAATCAACCAATGGATATAGATACCTGGACAGACAAATCTCTCTTTTTCACTCTCTCTTCTTATGCTTGGATGAGGATTACAAAAATGGAGTTCAAGTGATGAATTTTGGGTTGTGCATTTTGCCACAGTAAGACAATATCTGCAGGAGTTAATCCTCTTAGGGTTCTTTTGTGCCGTCCCTCCTCTGGAACAAAGTAGAAAATGTTGCAGGACAATCATAGCTTGACATTTACAACGTATTAAATGCCCTGGAATTCCAGGTTGTAAATATTTGTTTTCTGTATTTTCCTATAGAATCATGACCAAACAGTGGTTTAAATTTACCAATGGAATTGCTGTATCTTATCTTTTTTTTAAATTGATGATTTGAGAGAGAGAGAGAGAGAAAGAGAGGGAGAGAGATCTGTTGTTGCACTTAGCATTGCATTCATTGGTTGACTTCTGTCTGTGCCCTGACTGGGCATGGAGACTGCAAACTGGCCAACGGGGACGATGCACTAACCAACTGAGCTACCTGGGCGGCCCCTGTATCTTGTCTTGAGGAGAAGCTAAACGCTGATGTTATCATTAAAATATATTTTGCCCTGACCGGTTTGGATCAGTGGATAGAGCATCGGCCTACGGACTGAAGGGTCCCAGGTTCGATTCCGATCAAGGGCATGTACCTTGGTTGCAGTCAAATCCCCAGTACGGGGTGTGCAGAAGGCAGCTGATCAATGTTTCTCTCTCATCGATGTTTCTAACTCTCTATCCCTCTCCCTTCCTCTCTGTAAAAAATCAATAAAATATAAATAAATAAATAGAAACAACAACAAATAGAAACAAAAAAAAAGATTTTGGAGCCTGGCCAGTGGGGCTCAGCTGTTGAGTGTCAAACCATGAACCAAAAGGCCACTGGATTGTTTCCTGGTAGGGCACATGCCCAGTTTTCAGCCTCGATCCCCATTGGGGGGCCTGCAGGTGTCAACTAATTGATGTTTCTCTCTCTCGCTCTCCTCTTCATTCATCTCTCTCTAAAATCAATAAAATGAAATATTGTTTAAAAGAAGAATTCTATGGGTTAACTTCCAGGGTATCCAATATGGGACCAGTGAGGGGTGTTTAGTATTGGGTGGGTCAGCAGGTGAAACCCATTTCATTCTCTCCTCTCTTCCCCCCAGAACTGTGGCCGGTTACCAAGTCCCAGCCCTACTGTCGCTCTCCATCAGGAGCTGACTTCAGGCCCGGTTTGCTGCAGTCCCATTGGAGACGTTCCCAGGGAATATGGCTACAGACCTGGCATTTTCCAATGGTCATGGGCATCCCCAGGGCTGCCTGGGCTGGGAGCTGCCACCAGCCAGACCACCTCAGGGAAACCTCATTGAAGGACAGCACTGGGACTCAGAGAGGGGGCACGTGCTCTTCAGAGTCTTCCAACACCCAGAGGACGCGGACCCCCTCCAGAGCGTGCACACAATGTCTGCGCTGCTCCATCGCTGGCTCAGGCCGGATGTGCTCACCAAGAAGCAGATCTTGGATAAGCTTCTGCTGGAGAAGTTCATGACCTGCATGCCCCTGGAGCTGCAGGTCTTGGTGAAGGAGAGGCGCGTGCAGAGCTGCGAGGAACTGAAGGCCTTGCTGAGAAATAAGGAGAAACCCAGGAATTGGAAGGTCATCATCTTCCAAGGGCAAAAGTACCTTCAGGAGAATTCCGATGTCCAGATGGCTGATGAGGAAGTTGGTGACACAGACTACGTGTTGGACTTGTCCATAAAGTCCCAATCCCCCATAAGTCAGATGGGGGTACATCCTGAGAACAGCCAGGAGGTCAGTGGAGAGCCAGGGAACCAGCCAGGAACCAATGACGAGGTGTGGGGACAAGGGCAGAATGTCTTCCTGTCCGAGACGATTCCCACGAAAAGTGATCTGGAGGGTGTGAGGCCCACGGAGAATTTGGTGAAGTCGGAGAAGGATGTGCTGGAAGACAGGGCAGAGGCAGCAGTACTCACATCTCCAAAGCTTCCGCTTCCCAGCGGTCCTGGAGATTCGGTGCAGGCAGAGGGGGAGCAGGACCCGCAGGAAGGAACTGGCCTGGAGCGTGTGGATGCCTGTGACGTACCTCCCACCCATGTTCCGGAGACACAGGCTCTGAGTCAGCCTCCAAAGCGAAGAGGTTCTGGGAATTTAGGAGGTGCCCCCAAGAGAAAAAGGGGCAACGCTTCCACCCCCCAAGGGGAGCCTCAAGAAGGAGCCGTGTTGTTGGACAGAGAAGTCACCAGAGGGCACCAGTGCAATTCAGTGGGTGCATCAAGCACCGTGGAGCAAACTGGTCACCCTGTTGGGAAAAAACCCAGGAGAAAGATACCATACGAGTGTCAAGACTGTAGCAAAAGGTTCAGCTACAAATCACAGTTAGAACTTCACCTGAGGACACACACAGGAGAGAGACCCTTCCAGTGCCTTGACTGTCCCAAGAGGTTCATTCAAGCCTCAGACCTCCACGTCCACCAGCGGATCCACACGGGTCAGAAGCCGTTCTGCTGTAAAGTCTGCCAGAAGAGATTCACGCACGAGTCCACGCTGCGTGGCCACCAGCGGGTCCACACCCAGGAGAAGCCTTACCAGTGCTCCGTCTGCCAGAAAAAGTTCGGCCACCGTGGAAACCTCAACGTCCACATGCGCACCCACTCGGGCCTGAGACCCTACCCGTGTCCCCATTGCCACCTGGCCTTCCGCCAACTGGGGGCATTTAAAGGCCACCAAAGGACACATGTCAAGGAGGCGCCCCAGGGGCCCCAGGTCCCTTCTGACCAAGAAAGAAACTAACGGGTCTCTCCCTCTCCCTTCCTCTCTGAAATCAATAATAATAATAAAAAAAATTTAAAAAATCAATAAAAAATAAAATATAAGACAGAATTGTGTATTTTGTATTTAATAAACTATTTCATTTTGCTGTCATTATCCAACTATCATACATAGATTGATAGTATATAACTTGAATCAAGAGCTACACAATTGGTCTCTCAAGGATCCTACATATTTCAATCCATCCCTGAATATGTGCTTATTCTTTGGAGCTATTATCAAGTTTAAATGTGACATTTGTTGCTATACTAAATTGCCAACAGAAATGCTATTATTTCAGCCACTGTAGTCTTCACTCCTTCCTCACTGCCAAGGTATCAGCTATCGCTTTCTTGAATCTTCATATTGACATTAGCAGCCACATAAAATAGATAATTGGATACTTAGATGCCATATTCTCCAGCTCTTGAAATGCTTGTTTATCATATGATGTGCTGTTGAATCTAGATAAGTCAAATTACTAATATATATGCCTAAGTGACCATTCAACCATTTGACTTGTAGCTATTACATGCAATGACCACTAGAGGGGAGATGCTCTGACCAGTAGGTTAGGTTGCTGCTGGGGGCCTGTCAACCCACACCCCGGACCCAGAGAGGAGGGAGGAAAGTGGGGTCCCTTGGCTTGGCCAGTGGGGATCGGGCCAAAACTGGCAGGGGTCCTGGATTACAAGAGGGTGCAGGCCAGGCCCACGTACCCCACTGGTGCACAAATTCACGCACTGGCCTCTAGTAATAATAATTATAAACATATTCAACTAAATGAAGCATTGAGAGAAATTTTCTTTAAAAATTTCATGAATTTAAACATATAGTTATTATGTATCTACTTTGTGTCCTCAGAAGGCTTGTTTTGTTTATTTATTTGTAATTTTTATTGTTTTAAAAGTGTTATGTGTGCATTTGGTTTACCTTGGCATTGGAAAAATACTGTATATGTACACACTACACTAACTAGCATATATAGGGTTCAATATTAGTGCTTAATAAATTATTGAATAGATAAATGAATGGATTATTTTATAAATTTCTTTAGTTAACTCAACTTTGCCTCTAAGTGAGAAAATATTGCCCACATTTGATAGGTAGAGGATCCAAAAGACATGGAACATAAATGGATTTCAAGGGTCATAATCCATATAAATGGCATACATTTGAAGTATTTTGCATACAAATTTCTCAATTCACAGACTATGGGTAGACTTAATACATACCAACAGGATAAAAACAACTGTTCAGGAAGCAATATATGGAAGATAACAATACAAAGTTTAGGCAAATTTTAGGTCTTGTAACTTTAAGAATACCTGACAGAAAGAGTACAACCTACATAACTCATTATGTACTGAGACAATATGAAACCAGTTACAAGGTTCTAAAAGAAAAGAAAATAGGCTCAACCTAATGCATAGGCATGCATCTTTCCCTTTAATAATG